GTTAGGGGCCTAGATGGCAATCATCCCACGCAAGTTGCCCCGCCCAGCATGCGTACCCCGCCCCCATCGGCCTCGCCCCGCCCCGCGCCCGCCGCTCCTTCCCCCTAACCCCCTCCTCTCTCTTTATGCGGGCGGGGCCCAAGAGCCAGGATGAGGACAAGCATGCCCCATCTGTAGGACCCCAGGCGCGCCACGCGCCCCATCCGCTGGCCCTCGGCTCGCCGCGCCCCTTCCCCCAGCGCCTGGGCCGTACCCCCATGACTCTCTGAACATTACCCCTGAAACACGAAACACTTGCAACATGAAACACTTAAATGCAACATAAGTCTTAAGCAGATGAAACATTTAGGACATACACTTGTAACATATGTGTGAAACATATCAACATCCAGATAAAATATTTGCAACATGAAAATATTTACTGCAACATAAGAATGAAACAGTTGTAACATTTGGAAGATACTCTTGCAACATATGTGTGAAACTTATGTAATATCTAGATCAAAACGCTTGCAACATACGTCTAAGATAGATGAAACACTTTGAAGAAACGCTTGTAACATGCCTCTGAAACACATGTAGCATATGCAACATCCCGATCTACTTTTGCAACATCCATATGAAACACTTGCAACGTACATCTAAAATATCTAAAACACTTGAAACATACGTTTGCAACATACTCTTTCAGCGTAACATTTCCTTGCTGCTTGTAAATAGAGGCTCGTCGGCGCGTGGAGTTCACCGGTGGCATAGAGCTCGCTGATCTGGTGGAGAAGGCCGCAGTAGGTCCCATGGAGAAGGCTGCGGCGGGTTCGTGCGCCGGAGAAGCCCGTGGTGGGCGGGAGGCGCGGTGGAGAGGGAGGAAGACGGGCTGCCGTGCTCTGGCGTGGAGAAGATGCCGGCCGGCGAAGCGAAGGCGTGATGGAGAGGTAGGGACGGTGGAGAGGGAAGGCCTAGGCAGCGCGACGGAGCGTGGTCGTAGAGAGCTGTCGCGGTGCTGCAGTGAGGTGAGTTTTTTCTTCTTTTTAGAACGGTTGGATGAGCAGATAAGATGTAGTTGTTGTTGTTGGGCTGCATCGCGGCCCACCAACGGCACCGTCCGGGCGTACGGATGCCCTGTACCCAGCATTTCCGTAAATTTAAGACCTTCAATGTATTTTACTCTTATATTAGTGTGAAAGCTCAGGTGCTCAGAGATTTACCGTTGTGAGTTACATATAGCAGTTGGCTCAGCCAAGCACGACCATCGATCACTCTTTCATTTTGTTGAAAAAACGGCTGCCACGTAGCCACGTACTATACATCTCCGGGTGGAGACGGATACTATCCAAGAGAGACCAATATGTTGGGGGATCTCATCGACACAGATAGATGCAAACGAGAGCAAATTAATACGTAATATAGATTAATGATCAGAGACACGTGAGTGTGGTTCAACGGGCAACCAAAGTCAAGTGTTCCTATCACAATGAGCAAAAGGCACCCTCCCAGCGCTGGACAGCCCTGCGAGCGTCCTCGCTCCTCAGGGCTCCATTTCTAGCCGCGCGACCTAGAGTAAAACAGGAATAGTAAGGTACCACGTCCCACTCGCTAGCGCAGGGCGAGCTTTCCCGATCGAGCTAGCTAGCCTTGCGCAACCACCGACATGGTCCACCGCATCTCGAATCTGAAATCTTTTTTGGTGGCCTGCAAAGCAAGATCACGATTAGAGCTGTTCTTCTTCTTCTTTTTAAACGTGTGCTTGCCCGTACCTGCCTGGGAGCATTATGCAGAATTGATCTGTAGCAACACCTTCAGTTAAAAATGTAGAGAAGGCTCTGTCGTCCAAAATCACCTCTAAAAATAATTTCAAAAAAAACATCTTCTGAAAATCTATTTTCAGCTGCCTCTAATGATGCCCTACTTAATTTTAGAGGCGACTGAATCTAGAGCTGCCCATAAAAAATGATTTGTAGAGACGGCTGAATCTAGAGCTATATCTAAAAATAGGAGCAACATAATAAAAATTAGGCAAAAGTTGCTAGTTACACTGAAAGTAAGGTTGTTTTTTCCGGCGGACACCGAAAATAAATCGATTTGCTAGTGGACATTCTACTCTATACCAAATTTAATGGAGGACACCGAACGCATTAAAATATTTATTTCTGACCTAGGAGGTGAGAGAACAGCTATGAAATAACAAATTTTCCCCTTGCTCTTTCTTCTTCCTGACCCAGGGGCAACATCATCATTTCATAGCTATTCTCTCACCTCTTGAGCCATAAATAAATATTTTAATGCGTTCGGTATCCTCCAGCAAATTTCGCTCAAAGTAGAGTGTACACTAGCCAATTGATTTATTTTCAGTGTCCCCTAGCAAAGCAACATCATTTTCAGCGTCCACTAGCAAATTTTGCCTAAAATTTCTAATTTTTTCAAACAAAATCGGATGAAGATAAATTTTATATGAGATATACAAGTTTATAGTTCATTACTTCTCCATTTGAAATAATTTAGGTTCATTCCTTTTTGAATTTCTCACATTTTAAAACCCAACTTTTTTTAATTGTTCAAACGACCTCGTATGGAGAAATGACCATAACTAAAGTTAAGATCTCGAAAAGACCAACAAATTGCGGTTGATAAATTTTTTCATTTGAGATAATCTTTTGTCCCAAAATTCAGTTTGAAGTCCTCACAATTTAAAATTTAAATTTTTTGAACGACCAAAACAAAGTTGTAGATTTGCCGATAAGTTATACTATGAATTTGTTCAAAATCCAAATATTCATTTCAACCCACCATCCAAAAAAACTTGATATTTTAGTTTTGTCCTAAGTTAAACTATTTTTAGTTTGACCAAATCTATATAGAAATTTGTTAATATAGATGACACCAAATAGGTATACTATGAAACTATATTGCATAAAGAATCCAATGATACTGATTCGATAATATAAACATTATATTAGTATTCTAGTGTATAAACTTCACATAGTTTGAATTAGGAAAAAACTAAAACGTAAGTTTTTTTTGGACAGAGGTAGTAAAAAAATGTATCTAGCTCTTAGTTACACTAGACTTTTCGGTACAATGGTTAGGAAATGCACGCGCGCGTAGCAAAAAATCAGGTGACTTCTGACGCGAGACGATGAGACCAGAAGATTAAAAAAACAACTATTTTTAAGACCTTATTTATGTTTTCTGGATAGGAGACACCCAGCAAATCAATTTCTAGAAATGGTTGGGGCATGTACCTCTACAAATACTTTAGCTAGTAGTGTCATATCGCTAGTCTCTCTCTGTCCATTTTATATACTGCCGGGAGTAATTACTCCTATAATCAATAAATCACGTGGTATGTGTACATATTCTTTTATCAGTTTAAGTATGTTACATACTAATATTAAGATACTCCAGATCTTTACTATTTGAAAAAAATTCAAAAGAACACATATTTTTTAATATATTATATATAATACTATGATAGTAACATATAAAATAAGTATAATCATATACTCTCAGTATATATATATATATATATATATATATATATATATATATATATATATATATATATATATATATATATATATATATATATATATATATATATATATATATATATATATATATATATATATATACTTGTCGTACATAGTACCCTAAATGGTCTAGTATGATGATATATTCTATTTACATACACTTCGTCGGACCATAGGAGTAACTAAGAAATAATTTCCATATATATATATAGACACACACACACGATCTTTTGCACATAGGAGACGGGACTAGCTAGTAGTACATTGCTGCATTCACTCAAGTACATAACGCAAGTGGCTGCTAGACGACCGATCGATCGAGAGCCAGCCATGGAAGAAATGATGCAGGTGCTTCCGGTGGCCCTGGCCGTGTTTGTCCTCCTCGCCGCCGCCGCTTCCCTGCGCAGCCGCAGGCACTGCGCAGGCAACACGCGCCGCACCGTGCCAGTCCCGGCAACAATCGAGATCAGAGACCCCGAGGCCGCCCGGCGCATGATCATCGACCACGCCGACTCCTTGTCCGACCACCCCGCCGTGCCCTTCCCCGTGGACCTCGACGCCGGGCACCCCAAAACCAGCAGCATCAACAGCGCGCCCTACGGCCCGCTCTGGCGCGTGCTCCGGTGCAACCTCACCGCCGGCGTCCTCCACCCTTCGCGCCTCACCCACCTCGCACCGCTCCAGCGCGACGCCGTCGAGGCCCTCGTCGCGGACCTGATGCTCGCCGTCGCCACACGGGGCGGCCGAGCAGGAGCGGGCGACGGCGCGGCGGTCATCGCCGTCCGCGACGCCCTGTACGCCGCTGTGTTCAAGGTGGTGGAGCGCATGTGCTTCGGCGACGGTGTCGGCGAGCGCGACGTTCGCGCCATGCAGCGCACGCTGCGCGAGTTCTTCCACTCCGGCGTGGACGCCAGGCACCTGGAGACCTCGAGGCTGGCGAGGCTGCTGCACTGGAGGCAATGGCGACACCTGGTCGGCACGCGCGGCCGCCTGGCCAAGGTCTTCGTCCCCGCCATCGCGGCGCGGCGGCAGCTCCGGCGTAGCAACGCCAGCGGTGTCCGGTCGTACGTCGACTCGCTCCCCGACCTTCGCGTGCCCGACAACGACGACGACGAACCGTCCAATGGCACCGTCCGGCGGCGCGCGCTTAGGGACGACGAGATGGTGAGGCTCATCTGGGAGTTCCTGGGAGCAGGCACGGAGACGGTGGCGGCGTGCGTCGAGTGGACGCTCGTGCGCCTCGTCGCGCATCCGGAGGTCCAGAAGAAGCTGCACCATGAGCTCAGCGGCGGTGACCAGCGGAGCTTCCAAGACTTACCTTACCTATGGGCTGTCATCCTCGAGAGCCTGCGGCTGCACCCGCCGATGCCATTCATCCTGCGTGATGTCGTCGGACTACCTGAGATCACGGCAGCAACGTAGGTTGGGAGAGCAGTCCCACTCCCGCCGCCAGATGGCACGCCGGTGCGCTTCATGTTCATGGCAGAGGACATCGGGAGGGACCCCAAGGCGTGGACAGACCCTGAGGAGTTCTGGCCGGAGCGGTTCCTCGACGGCGGCGAAGGGGAGGACGTGAGCCCGTCTCCAGGGCCCAAGGACATCAGGGTGATGCCGTTCGGAGCCGGGCGCAGGCATTGCCCTGGCGCGGGGCTTGCCGTGATTCAGGCCAAGTGCTTCGTGGCCGCACTCGTGCGCGAGTTCGAGTGGGCGCTGCCGGCGACTGGCGGCGGCGTTGACCACACGTCCACCAACGCTTTGTTCTTGAAGGTGATGGCGTCGCCGCTTAGAGCGTGCATCGTGCCACGCCGGTCCTAGTTGTTGATGTGGAATCATGCGATTGATTGATGCATCGGTTTTCTCAAGTGACAGCTGTTTCGGTAATTCGGTTCCTATTTTGCTTAGAGCATCTCAGATAGTTCCCGAAATAATAATGGATAAATCAATGAGTTTTCAAAGTGGCTAAAAAATATTACCGTTTCCAAACACTAGCCTCAAAAATCTAGTAAACATTTTACATCAGGAATCTTGAACTAGTTATAAATTACTCTAACCAGTTTTTTATTTTCTTAATCTCTTTGTACATTTGTATTGGAAATTCTATCCTACTTGAATTCTTACTCTTCCCGCGTCCTTCCACTTTCAGATTGGCAGACAGATACACCACAAGGACCGTGCAATTTTTTTTTCAATTGCGGAAAGATTGGGAGTTGAACTATGGATTGTGGAGGGTTTTTTTTACAATTTTGTCAAACAAAAATGTAGATTAGGAGGTTGTGTTTGGTAGTGATCTATATTCTAAGAAACCTTTTGGATCAAGATTCTCTCAAGGAATGTTATGTATAGAATCAATTTGTGACATCATTTGGCTGGTAGGCTACATTCCGACTAAAAAAAATTATTTTTTCATAAAAAATATATAAGTAAAAAATTTCATTTAGAGAACCTTTGGAGGGCAAAGAACAACTTAAATACTACTCATTTAACTTATTTCACTTAAAAAGAATTAATAAAAAATTATGGTTGCTAATGCTTGTCGAGGGGTGGGGGAGGACAAGAATTAGAATCGTGTGAAACTAGCTAAGTGCCCTTTCACATTGCTACGCTTAAAAACAAGAAATCGTTGTAGCGATTCTCGGGTGAAACATTTCTCGTGTGACCTATTTGGCAGTGATTCTATCGATTCTTGCAAGAATGAGAAATGTTTCTGTTCGCCAAACGGGGTCTTTGTGTCAGGGGATGGTAATTCCTCTGGTGGAGTATACGTGCCTACAATGTGAAACTCAGTTAGTTTTACTATCAATGCAGGTGGAAATCAATTACACATTATATTATAGTTACACGAGTTTGGTTCCACCTATCCATGAACATGGCATTCAATCGAAATTTAACTTGTATTTTGACATGTTCCTCATTTGTCAATTTGTAATAATAAAACTAAATTTTGGGGTTTCTAATGTAGAAATTAGATTTAATTCGTCAAATTTAAAACTTTTAAGATTACTGGACAAACATCATTGGTTTGTATATTCTATGACAAAAAAATATATAAAATGAATCGGATGCCACTACAGAAAAAGTGCTAAGAGGGAAGAGACCAGGATAAAGAGATGGAGAGACATATCTAGATGGACGCAAAAATTCTCTCCAGATTTCTTACTGGAGTCCTGAAGATTATATTTGACTCACTATTTGACCAGCAGTCAATGCACAGTGTTGTAGCCAACGTATCCTGCATGTGCAATGTGCTGGTGCATGTTTATTCAAGAAAGAGGTACTCTATATCATCATAAAATGTATTGAAAGGCCCATGTTTGTGCTCGGCCCAAGCTTATTTCTAACGATGGGCCTATCCTATTTGAGGCCCGATTTCCAACTTTACCGGGCCCATTTTCAGGCCTAATTTAATTTTTGGCGTAGGCTATTTTTTTTTTTTTGTATAAGAGCAGCTCCAACAGTATCAAAAGAGTCAATTCATAGCTTATTTTAGTAACCAAGAGGGGGAGAGATTGATAAGCTGGTTCTCCGTAAAGAGCTAAGCTCTTACACTTTTCTATAATTCGTGTGTTTTTATCACTTTTTATTTAAAAAAATTGCCTGTTAGGTTACTATATGTTTATATTTTTTTTAAGTTTATATGAGTTAGCAAGTTGATTCTGTTGTTGAGGGTGCCCTAACGTTAGCGAGACCCAATTATTTTCAGACCAAGAGACCAATTATAAAAAAACATAACAATTTAGAAGCCCATTAAATAAGAATATAGAAATATATTAGTCAATTCATTAACACATCAATTGATAATAGCAATTCACACTGTAAGCAAATTTTTATATTGCTCTCTAATGCTAGAATATCGTTTTCCCCACACGTCAGAACTCAAAAGCGATTATCCTATCTGGAGTGTTGGTTGAAAGTTCAGAGATTAGCACGAGGCAATACCCACCACACAATTACATTTAGATATGGAGGCCTGATGCTGCGCCCTGTTCGCTTGGCTTATAAGCCGTATTTTTTCAGCCAACGAACAGTATTTTTCTCTCACAACAAATCAGCCAACAGTACTTTCAGTCATGGCTTATCAACCAAGTAAACAGGCACCGGTGTTTATGCGTGCTGCATGGTGATTGGTGAGTGGTGGTGAGCTGACGTCGTCGTGACACGGTGTGCCCCTGGCCTGGCCTCTCTAGTACCGTATGTGTCATGTCAAGAGGTGATAATCACAATCTCATCTACAGGTGGCCCGCACCGCCTGTCGTCATCGTCGTGAGGAAATTTGAAGCACGGGTGCTGCCGCTCTCGGTGCTGTGCGTCAAGCCGTCAACGCACGGCTGGAGACGGAGAAATACAAGAACTACGACTCTGGTCCGGCTAGATCGGGTCGTGATCGTCACGATCAACTGGAAGCAGCAGTCGTTCCCTGATTACATCCTGCAAAGTACACCTGGAGAAAAATGCGAAACGACAGAGGACCAAGAGAACACAGGAATAGAATAAAATAAAAAGTGAAAAATCCATGACACAGGAATTGCAACTTTGAGATGTTTAGATTGGGAATTTGGAAAGATCAATCATCACATGTCTCTAAACAACAAATCAGTCACCAACATTGCTAGTATTTTTTTTAAAGGGGAGACCTTAATAATAGAAGGTCAACATGATTACAACCGCGGGCTAAAGCCACCGACACACAGGTCGGGATGTCATTAGCAACAGAAACATATGAAAGCTCTCTCCTACGAAACTGACACAGCTCATGGGCTACCTCATTTGCACTCCGACGACACTCGGAGATTCTGACTTTCTGAAAGTTCTTGAGGATTTCCTTCGCTTCTTCTATGGTATGGCATAATATAGATCGGTTTTTGCACTTGTCTTCTAGATGATGCACTGTTGCGAGGCAATCAGATTCCAACCAGAGGCACCCTTTCCACAAAAGATAATGTGTGCTTTAGACCCATCCACGCAGCTAGACATTCCGCTTCTTCAGCCAACTTGTATAGTTGATCGCTTGACCATCCTGGGAACAAAACCTCGCCCATATGGTTCCTTGCAATGAAATCAAGTCCGGCATAACTGGAGAGGGGTTGAAACCTGCATCAACATTTAGTTTTATCCAATCGAGGGGAGGCGGCGACCAAGGAACTTTGTCTTTTATGTCATTCGAGGGAGCAGAGTAGTGTTGTACAGGCTACGGATTACTGATTTCTTTGCCCTTTCCATGTGCTGGCAGATTGTTGTTTGGTTTTCGTCGAGACGATATAATTCTGAAGGAATTCTACTAAAGCAGATATAGGACTTTCTCCTTTTCCGAAGATGATATCATTTCTAAGGTGCCAGGTTCTCCAAAAAAGGAACATCAATTTAGCTCTTGCCTCTTTGTTGACAGTATTTAGGACTAGCATCCATTCAGGTCCTGTGTAAATAAACAGACTCTCCTCAGGGAGGTCCCAAACTTGGCGTAGGGCATGTCGTAGAGCAACAGCTTTCGTGCATTGGACCATAGCATGGTGATCATTTTCTGGTTCCAGGCTGCAGATGGAGCAAGTGGCATCCGGGATTAGGTGATGTTTCAGTCTGTTTGTTTGCACAGCCAAGCCATTCAGGGCCAACTTCCAGGTGAAAACTTTTATTTTCTGGGGCACAGGGGTTGCCCATATTGCCTCAAAATTCTTCCTATCAGCAGATGAGCTTGTACTGCAGTCATTGCAATTTAACTCCACAGCAAGTTTATATGCACTCCTAACAGAGAATATGCCATTTTTCTCAAAGTGCCAGGCAAGGATATCCATACCTTCAATTTCTGGAATCCTGATGTTGAGAACTTCTTCAGCTTCATGCTGAAAGAAAATTTGCTTGATGAGTGATTCATTCCAGCGTCTTGGATTATTTAGAAGCAAATCAGACACTCTGCGGATCCTGGTGACTTTTGCTGGTCTGGAGACTTTCAGTGAATTTGATTGAGGTATACAATTATCCCTCTAGATTTGGATGTTTTGGCCATTATTTACTCTCCAAATGGTTCCTTTTTTTAAGAGGTCAAGCCCATACTCAATGCCTTTCCACATTGGGGAGGAGTTTGCTGGAAAGCTAGTGTCTAGCAGATTTCCTTGAGGATAATATTTAGCCTTTAGCAATCTTGCGCAGAGGCTATCAGGTTGCTGTAAGAGACGCCACCTCTCAGCTTTGGTTTGGTGAGCTTATCCCAAGCGAGCCAATGGATTTTCCTTCTTTCGTGTTCATCTCCCCACCGAAAATTTCTTATCATTTGTTCAAGTTCTTGACCTGCAGAAAATTTAAAGATGCTCATAGCATAAGTAGGAAGGCTCTGTAGAACAGATTTAACAAGGATTTCTTTTGCCCCGCTTGAAAGGTATTTCTCTGACCAGTCATTTGCACGCTTGCTGAAACTCTCCTTTACACTTCGGAATTTTCCTTTAACCATTCTCCCTTCAGGAACTGGAAGACCCAGATATTTTTCCTCTGTCCTTCTGTTTTGTGTTTCCCAGCAGGAGTTGATAGTTTCTATATTACTGTCAGAGCAGTTTCGTCCAAAGAGAACACTGCATTCGTTTTTTCTGATCAATTGCCCTGTACTCTTCTCATATGTGCTCAGGATATTTTTCACTTTTAGAGCTTGCTCTTCGTTGGCTTGAACAAAAAGTAGACTGTCATCGGTGAACAGCAGGTGTGAGATCCCTCGTTCCTGGAGATGTGTAACTCCTTTAACTGACCTGTAGAAATTTCTTTGTTTATGATAGTAGACAGACCATCAGCAACCAGCAAGAAAATATACGGGGACAAAGGATCTCCCTGTCTCA